ATTTCAGATCCAAATGAAATTTCATGAAGTATGTGCATATTTTTCAGGAGCAAGCTAACCGGTAACTTGTTAGAAGTCTCCCAATCGCTGCACTTATTTCCCCCAAGTTTATTAAATCCAAATCTCTCAAACATAAGGTCAGGCTCTTCAAAACGACTTAGGGGATGAGTGCTACGTCCAAGGATTTAGCACTAAATCCTGAACCAGCTTGTATGTTGACTGCGAACGATGCAGTGGAATGGTATCTTGTTAGTCTTACCAGGATGACCTGATGCCTTACTTCTGTAACTGTCAAAAAAGACAAGCATCACGCCCTTGTTGTATTACAAGTTTAACTTAACTCTATGCAATTTTCAGACAGACGTCTGTCGTGTCAGTCCTTCCATGATGACCTTAAACTCCAGTTGAGTGAGCAGAAACGCTTGCAGTTTGATGTTGTCTGGTCGTTGCCCCTTCTCCTTCAATTAATCTTAAAAGTGTTCTACAAGGACTACCACCACACATGTGTACAACATGTTTTGAAATCCTTCATCAGGCTATCTTAACTCGTCTAAAAATCAATCCAAATAGATAATTTATAGGTTCGGTGACATATATTGATTTGGTTTGAGGTTTTTTCAGACGACGAAACTATGCCCTGTTGATGTATGACGAATACTTTTGATATTTTGCCGTACGCTGCCTGCATCTTGGGGCTTTGCGACAAAAGTGCTATATTTCATTTTGTCTAATAATGTTGCACAAGGTAACTTGCTGTCCATCCGCAGGTTTGGTTTTTATTTTATCGTCATGGTATCGTCAAACACGAGACATATGCAGATATATGCAGACTTATAATGTTCATCTGGATTCGAGGTCATATATTTACATTCTAAAGCACATATCGTTGTTAGTAATTCTATCCATGTCCGTATCCACGTCGCATTAGGGACACGGCGTTAGCCAATGAAATGGCAGAGATACTACACTTGTCTGTTATTTTGTTCAGATTGTTTGTCTTCGTGGCGTGGAGAGCCAGTTCAGCTCGAGTCTATTCTGAGGCATCTGTGTTCGTAGTTGATTTACGCTCACCGCTGTAGAGGGAGGGAACCGGTCTAGGGAGATCTACAGTACGTGACCGATCTCACGAAAGATTGGCCAAAATCCTGAAATACGTTTTCGATTGGAAAGGATTACCTAGGTAGGATTATAATACAGCTTTTGAATGCACTTCTTTTCGGTCTCCCGCAGAAATAGCACTCGCTTAAAATTGACTAGTTATGTAGCATGTATTTTTCATATTGATTTTCGATGGTCTTACAAATTAAAGTATATTTTATAGAAAACATGCGCAAAATATGCTTTATTTTACTCGTTTGGCAAAAAATTATATTCACTTGACATTTTATCGGCGATGAAGGCGTATATCTAGGTTTTGAAGAAGTTTCCCAATTTCTCAATAATTTTCAGCCAGACCAGACGGTTCATCAGCGTTTAGCGATTACAGTCTTCAAAGTGTGTGCTTTCCGCGTGAGGAAACTTATATATTTTTTTATGCCTTTAAAAAGATACCATTTAGAATTTATAGAATTTTGCAGTGGATGCGGACTATGAGCAAAAACAATTCAAATGACCGCAATATAAACAACAGCGCGTGTCCTTGCGTTTACGGTCGAAAAATATTAGTATCTTTTAGCGAAGTGAAAGACACGGCCGAAAGTGTCGATTTTTTCCTTGGTCTCACTCTGTAGAACATTAAAGTACTCAGACATCTGTCAACGGATTGCAGTATCAAGGCAGTCCTCATAAAGGTAATTCGTTAGAGAAAGTTTTCTAATTGATCTAGGGCATGTTCGTTGTTGGCTTTCGTTGTGGACGTCAGTTTTATTCGACAATGAGTGTTCCTGTTCGCGTGAGTCTTTAAATAAGGCCCAAATTACGTTCTAAATGAGAAAGAAAGCCCAAACACTCGCTACTTCGGTATATGCCTTCTAGAAATACTTTATTTTACAGTTTTTAACAGACGCATAATACACAGTCTGTCCTTATTGGCGACCGGATGGAAGCACTAAAAATCTTGAAATATTCATCGATAATTCAAGGCCGATCTGAAACGCAACGCAATCCTGCACGAACGAAAAGTGCACATTAATTTCGGGGAAGAAAAGTTCTTTTTATAAACACAGAATGATTTGCTTACGATTACACATGCCAATTTTATTTAAAATTATTTGGCATAAATCGGCCCGGCAACATGTGTCCCTATGAAAACTTTCGTTTGTATGATGGCCTTGTCGGCAAAATCAGGCGAAGTCTTGCTCTTCTTATTGAACCACATCTCAATTAAGTCAAAAGACTAAAGGATACCACGAACACCCGGCAAACTGTTTTGTATCCATACTCAGAATGTAGGCTGTTGACAAGGCATCGTACCTGGTATTATACTAATTCTTAGAGGATATTCAAATGCTGACTTCAGTAAAACAATATTTTCAACTGTTATTCTATTTGTGCTTTCATATTTACTCAGTTTTGTCTATGGGCAGACGTTTTAAAAATTTAAAAGGAAGTTTAATAAATTGCAACTATTTTGACGCATTCGGGATTTTGCGACTTTCGAAAAAATGACGTTTCTAAAAAAACGTAACATTGTCTTTATTCCAAAACTACCATGCAGTTTCTCGCATTTGGCTAGGCCAATAGTAAAGAAGTGTCTTAAAAAATGTCCGTGGATTTCTAACTGTGTTGTCGAACACTGTCATACCATTTCTTTTTTAATTTTGTTTTCGGACAGCTCCTGTTTTGACATACCGTATTAACATGTCCTCAAGGGAGGCCAGGATTCCTGACGTTTTGGGCCAGGTAAGAATCAGTTTTGTACCTCAGATATTTACTGATAGACATCTTACATATTTCCATCCAATTGCCTGTTGTTTCGCAATATTAAGGCATGCTAACCAGTTGCATTGGATATTATAAAGGCATTATTTTCCAATTTTTCCGATTTTTTACAATTTACATATAAAGCTAACCGTAGTACCCTAAATGCTGTTGCTCTTCTAGTCCACTCTGCCCTGGAAAACCGGATAAGGGCTACCGAGTTTACGCATGCGAATTTCTTCAGTACGGTTCCCTGTCTTCCGTGCTTTCCACTCCAACAAACGGAAATCTACTGGCGTCCCTGGTTGCTGCAAGCTCCTCCAAATTTCCATTTTACCCCATCTACTCATTTCACGTTGCACTAATAACATAAGATCGACAATTGACTGCGCGTTTGTTAAGTATACTGACGATATTGTTATTGGTCGCCATCTCAGAAAAAAAAATCATCTTCAGTTTTTGAAGCTTGGCTTGGATCAGGTTCCACACGATAGTTAAAAAATGGTCCTCGCTTAACAATCAGAAGCCAGTTCTGTGTGTACTCCAACTAGTAGTAGACGTAATGAGATAGCAAAAACAAAGACAGGTGTTCCAGTATGAACCCCAAGGCGCAACGGTACGAACATGTTCCGTAACCTGATTGGTGAGCGCCTATCTGTCGCAATATATATTTATATATAATCGCGTTCATCATCTCCCGAAAAGACGAAGAAGAGAGGGCGAATTCATGGACCATATTGTATTCGAACTGACGTTCCGGAAACTTCCTCGTTTCCATCATCAGAGTAGCGTACTTGTTGCGCCTGCCGGTCTTGAGTTGTTCAGTCTTGCCGCACGCCTCGTATTATAGCCGAGCCTTGTACGCAGCGCCTGGTAGGCGGGATGTAGATCTATAGCTCGGTTGAGTGTGCGAGTCGAGGACCAACTTTCGAGCACCGGTCTGGCCGTCTTCACATTGGCTCGACCAATTACCCTCGCTTTCTCAAAGGCAAAATTGTGGTTCAGTTCTCGTATGTGGCCATAGACCAAAGACAGCTAGTACTTGCGGTTAATTGCAAGTTGGTGTCCGTGCAATCTTGGGCCGAGGCGTTTGCCCGTTTCACCAACATACCTTGCATAGCAATTTAGGCATGGTTTGCTGCAGAACACCGCCGACTGTTCTGTTGTTGGTAGCGGGTCTTTGGGCCTCATGATTTGCTGTCTGATGGTGCATTCTGGTTTATGAGCCACGCCAATCCCAAAAGGTTTCAGGATTCTCGCCATCGCCTCTGATAGCTTCTTCACATAGGGTATTGAGAGCCAGAACTTGGGCTTTTCTCCACTCGACCGCTCAAAATGAGGCTTTTTGAGGCAATTCGTATGAAGGAATCGGGTAGCCGTTGGCTTTAAAAAGGGCCTGTAAGTAATTCATCTCCTCCTTCCTCCCACTGTCGTCGCTACAGTGTGTTTGAACACGTTGAAAGAGTGTTCTGACACAACTGCGTTTATGCCCAACAGGGTGGTTGCTTCGGAAATGGAGAATGCGCCTAGTATTTGTTGAATTGCGGTAAACCATTGTCTTTATCCTCGCGTCTGTCAATCTCGTAACTTGTGCGTCCAGGAAGGGCAACTGATTGTTGACATCCTCTTCCATAGTAAACGGAATGTCGGGAAAGATTCAGTTCAGCAATGCCTTGAAAGCCTTCACCTCGCTCCTCTTTATTGCAGCGAACATCGATAAAAGCGAACAGGCGAGTTCCAGGTAGCAGTTCAGAAGATGAAGATGCGATCAATGGAACAAGAAATTTATTTGCCTGACGTTTCGGATTCTCAATCGAATGATCCGAGTGCTCCTTCAAGACTGTCACTCACGGATTCGCAAATACCGTCAGAGGATTGACCAAGAGAAAACAAGGTGCTGCGAGTTCGTGGGCGAGGACGGCATTAAATTGCTTCAGCAGCGGCTGGCCGAACGAACCCGCGAACATAAAGCAACGCGCAAAGCAGCCCTAGAGAGCAAATTTCGTAAGCTGCCTGCTCCCATGTCATCCAAGAACGACAAACTGGTGCACAATTTTACGTCAAAGGACCTGACGGAGGAACAAATGCAGGTTTAACGGCATGAGGCCTCATTCAACACAGTAGATGCCAAACCCGCCAACATGATCGCAGCAGTGGAATCAATCCTCAGCCAGACGGGAGCGACAGACGAAACGAATAACCTCATTCGACACCAAAAGTCCTCCCTACTCATGGCTCATAGGCCGCGCGAGGTGCTTTCCAAGGTCGAGCGCGATGCACTTAAGGAACTCAGGGCCGACAACGATCTCGTTATCGTGCCTGCGGACAAGGGGCGCTCAACGGTCGTATTGGACAGAACAGACTACAATCAAAAAGCCAAAAGCTTGTTGGAGGATCGTCAGTCCTATGTCCCATGTGAATCCAACCCCATAAAAACGCTGGCACGCGAGATTAACGCGACGCTGTTGGCAATGGAGAACTCAGGTGCAATATCGCCAATCGACCGACAAGAAACGGCCCTAGCCCAATTCTACGGTCTCCCAAAAGTGCACAAAGAGGGCGCTCCTCTCCGGCCTATCGTATCACTAAAGGGCACTCCAACCTACGGACTGGCAAAGTGGCTGTTCCAACGTCTCAATTTCTGACCTCCGATTCGAACACCACAGTCAGTTCGTCAACGCAATTCTTGGAGAAACTTAAAGGAGTAAGTCTCCTGCCAAGAGATGTCATGGCTTCCTTTGAGATCACGTCCCTTTTTACTTCTATCCCGCAGGACCTGGCAGTCGAGCCCATTGAACTACTCCTACGAGAGAAATACGACGAAACGGAGAATCGCCTCGGACACGCCCAAATCATCCAGCTCCTGAAGTCCTGTCTCAAGACGTACTTTACGTTCGACAGAACAATCTACGAGCAGGTGAAGGGAACGCCAATGGGTTCGCCGATTTTGGGACTCATAGCCGAGGCGGTCCTTCAACGGTTGGGCTCGGTATGTGGATGACACCTTCGTCGTCATCGAACGGGATCAGGTGCTGACGTTCAAAGAACAACTCAACGCCTTCTTCCCGGACATCCAATTTACGATGGAGGAGGAGGAAAACAATCAGCTGGCCTTCCTGGATGTCCTCGTCTGCCGCAAAGATTGTGGTGGCCTAAAAACCAAAGTGTTCAGGAAAGCGACAAATACGACGCAAATACTGAACTTCAATAGCAACCACACGACCAGTCACAAAAGCAGTTGCGTAAGGGCGCTATACCGGCGCGTTGAGACGCACTGCAGTGAAATGGAAGACAAGGTTGCCGAATTGCAATATCTTCGACCGGTAATGAGAGCCAATGGTTACCCGCGCAACTTTGTCAACCAGTGCATATGAAAAGGCCGCCAGAGACCAAATCCAACCGGCCCCAAATCTTGGCGGGCTCTTCCGTACGTGAAGAACGTCTCGGAAGCCGTCAGTCGTCTTCTCACTGCACTTGGAGTTGGGGTTGCACACAGGCCGGAAGCAGCCATTAGGCATTAAGTCATGAGGCCAAAGGACCCGCTGCCACGACAGGAAACGTCTGGAGTCGTATACCGGATCTGGTGTAGTTGCGGACAAAACAATTATGTCGGAGAAACTGGGAGATTACTCCGTACGCGAATTGCCGAGCACGCAGCTGCAGTGAGGCGGGGAGACGCTAACTCTAAAGTGGCGGCACACTTGACGGGACCCGGTCATATTTTCAAATTTCAAGAGGCCGAAATCCTCGCAAGGGGTGATATCCTCGTGAGCCGCGAGCTGCTCGAGTCATGGTTCTCAGGCCCGCAATCCATCAACAAACACAATGACCTCCCGGTACCATATTCCGTATTGACAGTGAACCAGTTTGCCGAGCAATCGTCACACCAGCATCCAGCACGGATGACGAAATCACGGCAATCAGCGACTCGGACTCGGACCGGCAAGCCTCCACCGCATCAATTACGACCCCAGCGGTGATTGCGAGAAGTGTTAATTGCAGTGCGCATACGATCAAACGGCAGCCACGTGCTATAAATACTGCACTCCTGGTGCCACCATCACCTTTATCTGCGAATGCCACTGATGATGGATTTTAGTGAGGATCCGAAACGTCAGGCCAATAAATTTCTTGTTCCAGTGATCGCATCTTCATCTTCTGAACTACAACGAACGTGTCATCGACGTATCTGGCCCAGAACTTCGGAGTATACGAGCTGAAGACCAGCTTCTCGAGCCTCTGCAACTCTGCTTGGGCAATTAGTTTAGACAGAGGCGAGCCCATCGGTATTCCCTTCTTTTGCACGTAGATTTGGTCGTTGAATATAAAGAAGGCCTTGAGACACAGTTCTAGGAGCTCGATGATGTGGGCTCGTTTGAGCTGTAGGTCGGTCTCATCATAATTTTCCAGGAGAAAGTCATCAATAGTGTCGATAGCCAGCGCGGGTGGGATGGAGGTGAACAATGAGATCACGCCAAATGACACCATCACCGCATTTGCCTCCACTTCGACCTGTCTGATTCGCATCAAGAACTCTTTAGCCGACTTCACTTTACATTCCGAGTCCTTGGTAAGGAAACAAAGTCGCTAGAACAGCCACTTTGAAAGCCCAAAGGTTGGGGTACCACGTAAGGAGACGATGGGGCGTAGCGGCACCCCCTGCTTGTGGACTTCTGGTAGGCCGTAGAAGCGCGCCATCGCGGCATCACTGGCTTTTGCGGCCAACGCTTCCCTTCTCGTAAGACCTCCCGTCTTCCTCAGCCTGCCGATCGTATTGTTTAAGCTGTTTATGCGCTTTTTAAACTCGCCGACGGTCGATGGTGATTAAGCTTTCTTGTCCATCAAGAGGTTGCCTAGTTTTGTGCAGTACTCAGCCCTATTCATGACGAAAGTCGAGCGCCCCTTGTCGGCGGGCAGGGTGACGATATTCTTTATTTTTCTTATCTTCAAATGTTCTCGACCTTCTGATTTAGAAATCGTCATCTTTACGCATATCGATTTATATATAAATATATCATGACAGATGGGTGCTCACCGATCAGGCAGCAGAACGTTCTTGTTTCCTTGTGTCTTTGGGTTCATACTAGAACCCCCTCAGGTAGTCGCACAGCGACTAGTAGTATAATGACATGGTGTCGATGAAGACAAGGCAGATTGGGATAACCATTTCTGGCTTATTAGCCGTCATCAGTGGGTCCGCGGCTCAACTGCAGACTGTCAAACTCCATGATTAAAGGTCCTGGGATAGAATCAGAAGTGGTCCACACTTGAGGTTGGGTATGACTGGCTAACGACGGTTAATAAGCCAGAAATGGCCGCTCCGGTCTCTTTTGTCTTTCTCGACCCCATGTCATGAAAAACAGATAAATATTTTATTTCAAATTACAATGAACTTTCAGAAACTATGTGCATATCTTTCAGGAGCAAGCTAACCGGTAATTTGTTAGAAGTCTCCAAATTGCGCACTTAGTTCCGACAAGTTTATTAAGTCCAAATGTCTCAAACATAAGGTCAGGCCCTTCAAAACAACTTAGTGTATGAGTGCTACGTTCGACGATTTAGCACTAAGTCCTGAGCCAGCTACTGTGTTAACCGCTAACGATGCCGTGGAATGGTATCTTGTCAGTCTTATCAGGATGACCTGATGCTCTACTTCTGTAACTGCCAAAAAAGACAAGCATCGCGCCCCTATGATGTTACAAGTTTAACTTAACACTATGCAATTTTCAGACAGACGTCTGTCGTGTCAGTCCTTCCATGATGACCTTAAACTCCAGTTGAGTGAGCAGAAACACTTGCAGTTTGATGTTGTCTGGCCGTCGCCCCTTCTCCTTCAATTAATCTTGATAGGGTTTTCCAAGGATTTTCACCTCACTTGTGTACCACATGTTTTGAAATCCTTGATCAGATTATCTTAACTCGTCTAAAAATCAATTCAAATAGATAATGCGTAGGTTCGCGGACAGATATTTATTCGGTTTGAGGTTTTTTAGACGACGAATCTATTCCCTGTTGATGTATGGCGAATAATTTTGATATTTTCACGTACGCTGCCTGCATCTTGGGGCTTTGCGACAAAAGTGTTATAGTTTATTTTGTCTAATAATGTTGTACAAGGTAACTTGCTGTCCATCCGCAGGTTGGATTTTTATTTTGTCGTCAGTGTATTCCCAAGCACGAGAGATATGCCGATACACGCAAACTTGTAATGTTCATCTGCATATGAGGTCATTATTTACATTTTAAGGATCATTTCCCTGTCAGTAGTTCTACCTATGTCCGTATCTACGTCGCACTAGGGACACGGCGTTAGCCAATGAAAAGGCAGATATACTATACTTGTCTGTGTTATTTTGGTTTTTTGCTTTCGTGTCGTGGAGAGCCAGTTTACTCGAGTCTATTCAGAGGCATCTGTGTTTGTAGTTGATTTACTCTCACCGCTGTAGAGGGAGGGTACCGGTATTGGGAGATCTACAGTGCTTGACCGATCTCATGAAAGGTTGGCCGAAATTCTAAAATGCGTTTTTGATTGGGAAGGATTACCTAGGTGGTATTATAATACTGATTAACGTGCGACATAGTCCTATAGTATTTCGGATTCAAAAGAATGTCGGCTTTTGAATGCACTTCTTCTCGACCTCCCGCAAAAATAGCAC